ATTGCTTTTACTGCAGTTAATCATTGTCTTTCCTCTACATCAGTGTCTCCCAAAGTGGGGTCCGCGGCCCCCTGGTGGGCCGCGAGGGTACTGCAGGGGGGCCGCGGGAGGTCATAAAAAAAATAAAAAAAATAATATTATTATTTAATGTTAAATTTATAATGTTTTGTTTGTAATATTAAAATATTTGTGTTCATTATTTGACTTGAATAATCCACTGTAATCATTTTTGTATTACAATGTTTGTAGCAGAGGCTATTTCCCCAAAATAAAATAACCAGAAGAGCCTATTCTTAATGTTGTCTTCTTGGTTATTATTTTGGGGGGGCCACACAGACCCGACAGATTTTTAAGGGGGCCTCGGTGTTACTGAGTTTGGGAATGGCTGCTCTACATATCAAACTGAAAGTTAAGTCTTTGTGAGTTTTGCAAGAGACCATGTAACTTTCCTCCAATTGCTGTGTGGGAGATGTGTTTAGCCCTGTCCTGGCCCTGCTTTTAAGTAGAATGTAAAAGTGCACATATGAATCAATTAAACATTTCTGTAAAACATTGGTGCAGTATTCAAGATTTAACATAAAATATGGATCAGTTTTCCCTATTTTGGAAAATGTAACAACAATAATGCATCCTAGATGAACAAAGTAACCATAAAATGTGCACAACTAAATTTAACTGGCATTTAACTAAACATTACAATTGTGAAATATAATCATATTAAATATATTACTATTTGCAATAGACCTGTATTTATTTCAAAATGCAGTGTGAGTGTGTGTGCTTTGTGTATTTTGAGAAAAAGAGAGAACTAGATTTTAGCTGCATCCATCTCAGATGCTGACCACATGTTCAGTGCTGGGTGTGATTTTTGTGCATTTTGTCCATATAAAAAACGTAATCATTTGTCTGTGACTAAATGTCAAAATCTTTATTATTATTTACAAATGGGAACTGTGTGTTTTCTCTGTATCCATGGAGAATTCAAGGAGCTAAGCCACTCTGTACTTCAGCACAGTGCTTTTGTGACTCCCTCTACACCATATGGTGCTCAGGCTGCGAGGACAAGAGATTTTTTTCCCCAAGTGACCACTTCCTACATGTTAGTTTGTTTTTGTGCTGTAATAAAACAGCGTAACGTAATTAATATGTGCAAAGAATCAATTTGTCACATACACTGTACATACTGCACAATCACTATAGGGGGAAATTATAATTTGAATTTACAACTGGGAATAGAATAGACTAAAAGCAGAAGTAATCAATTATACTCACAGAAAAATAAGTTGATAAAGTAATGAATGCACCTTCACAAGTACCTCACACACGTCCAATAAATAACTTTTTACTTGAGGAAAGGGTAGGCTTGGGCAAATAATCTTAATAATACATTGGTTTTCCAGTCTTGTATTTTTCTTCTTGTTTTATTTGATGTCAACACTTCTCAGCTGTAGTAAATGTATATCCATGGATTGGTGCAGCTGTTGAGACTGGCCAGCAGCATAATAATGGCAAATATTGGCCCTGCAAAGACAATGATATATTGGATAACGGCTAGAATCACAAATGACCATTGGATATGCTGTTACTACTAACCTTTAGAGGGAGCTGTGCTTGGGCTCCATGCTGACCATAATTGGACTATAAAGAATGGACTCCAGCACACGGTGTATGCCATTATAATGACAAATGTCATTTTGATTGTTTTAAGCATGGCATTGGACACTCCCTTCGGACCTGAGCGCAGGGGCTTTGCTTGGATCGCCTTTTTCTTCATGTTGAAGTAAATGGTGGTACATATTCTCATCTGACAGAAAAGTAATATGACAGCAGGTAAAGCAAACACAGAAAGTGTGATCCAGCTGATGTAGGCCTCCCGACCCCAGGGCTCCATGAAAGTAGCCCAGCAGTCGAACTGATTCTCTTCTACCTCCCGCAGAGAGAAGATGAAGAGTTGAGGCGCGCTGAACACCAGTGAGAGCAACCACGCGGCGCCTATAGAAAGATATCGCTTAAACGAACCCTTAAAGAACGATACCATGGGTTTGCAAACAGCATTGTAACGATCTATTGTCATGGCCACTATCATATATGCAGAAGCAAACATCCCAACCACCTGCAGGTATTTGACGGAGCGGCACACAAAGTCAGTGCCCCGAAACCTGTGAGTAATTTCCATGGACAACTGTGGCAGAACTTGAAAAAATGCAACAACCAAGTCTGCGAAGCACAAATGCAAGAGAAAAAGATGAGTCTTTGTGCCCTTTTTCCGCTTCTTCCAAAGTGTATATAAAAAGACAAAATTACCACATGAAGCAAAAAGAAACACAGAACCCAATACACCGGCTCTGATAAGCGCAAAGCGTTCATGTTCCTTTATATTCTCATCTGCTTTCGTCGCCTGTTGGGAGCTACTGTTACAGATATCCATGCTCTGCAAATACCACCAGTAATAGTGAAGCCAGTTGTGTCTCCAGGACAGGAAAAAGTGAATGCGCACACATTCATGTTGACGTACTGTATAAGCTTAGCGAGGAGGGGGCGACTGTCCACTTACTCGCTGCTGCACATGAAAGCTTTGACATTCATCACGATGATTGTAATTGTTTGTTTTTCTTGCTATGTCCTCCCTATGATGCATTTTAATAATGCAAATGAATAAAAACCTAAATTGATATAGACAAACACATGCACACCCTCTTCTCCCATTTGGCGTATGCATGTTGACTATATACCTTTGCTCTGCATTTTGACTCACGAATTTAAGTAAGAAGAGACGACACAAGAAGACGTCAGTCGGTTTTACTGAGTGTGTGCCAGTCCTTGACGCACTGACAATGTTTTGGGAGCATATCACATCCACATTGAGGGCATTTATTTACATTACAAATAACCTATCTGAATAAAGGCGAAGTCGAAATGATATGTTGATCTGAGTTGTGCAGGGGGATAACAATGTACTGACAAATCTTCGAAAAAAGTTCGAAATTATAATCTGTCCAAAACATCTATTACTGTACGATCACTAATCATAAGCCACTGATGTAATATGCGACAAAATTGCTTTCAACAGAAGCGTACAAAGAGAAAGTGCATGGTTGCTGCACAATGACTTTGGAGCCACTTTTGATTTCCTCTCGGTTCGTATATTGCTGTGGCAAAGAAATAATTCTTTGAATGAGACAAATGTTGCATTAGGGATGATTCAGTGCGCAATTCATGGCGCACACATCTATGTTGTTTTATTTTATCCTTTGGGGGATAACACAATGTATTAAGGATCAACAAGACCATCCTAATCCTTAGCTCATTATAATTTGACGCCGTTGCTCTCCATGGTGCTGAAACTCCTTGAAAAGCTTACACACAAACACACAGGCACACACGCGCGCACGCACACACACACGCACGCACACAGTGTGATTTTTAACAGTTTATCTTCACAATAGTTTCAGTAGATTCATTGCTTGGACCCGGGCAGCACAGAGCGGGATAGACTGAACAAGCTGGTCAGGAGGGCCAGCTCCGCTCTGGGCTGCCCCCTGGTCTGTGGAGGAGGTGAGGGACAGGAGGGTGCTAGTCCAAGTCAACTCCATCATGGACAACAGCTCCTTCAGTGGAAGACTCAGGGCAAGAAGGAGCGCTACTGCAGGGCCTTTATCCCCATCGCTGTGAGACTATACAATAAGTCACTCTAAGTCTAATGCACTAAGAATGAAAAGAACGGAACTGCTATTGTCAGTTCTTTTTATTGTACATAATTATATCCTGCACAGGCTATATTTAAAAAAAAAAATGTTTGCGCACTTCTGTCTTTCGCACAACCTGAGTGATTCTGTCTATGCCAAATTTGACGTGTAAATTTCTCCAGTGTGAGATCAATAAAGTCTATCTTATCTTGAACATTTGAAACTCATTGAAACCGATCTCTTTGCCGCCCTCTCGTGGTATTATGTGGTACCCGGACTCTATAAAAATCTTGGCATTTCGTTCAAGATTGACAATTATTTCCAACCGAAACCTTGACCAACGTGACTATTGCTGACTATCAACCTAACCATATAGGTATAACTTAAATATGACTCTTACACACAAAGTCAAATAAAAAAGTAACAACCTAAATGTGATTTTTTCCCTCTGCCTGAAACGAAATACTAAGATGTTAGTGAGTCTCGTGGTAGCAAATAGCCTATACGTCACTTCCGGTATTGTTCCTGTTTGTACTCTGTTGATACTGAAACTGGACCTGAATAAAACCTGCATAAACCTGAACTAATATAAAGGTAAACTATTGACTTTCGGACGTTACTGAGTCAGTTAGCGTAGCATGCTTTTCACATGAGTACTTTCTAATGCTACGGGTTTTAATGTTACGCATTCAACTTGTTTATAGCATCCTTGAGTTAGCTACTGTGCTAACCTATACCTCAAAACATTGACAGCTAAAAACAAACAGGGCACTCAATGTTAACAAACGTATTTTATTTTGATACCAATGCATTGTTTATGTTCCCACAAAAACCCATTCTGTGCTTATTGGCTGTTGTTGTCTCTCTCGCTGCGTGTTTGTTTATGACGTGGCACCGTCCATTGTGTCCAAGCCCGGGTCGGTCCAATGGTCCTGCACCCGTTTACGCAACAGTGTTTTACTGTCGATGACATCTCTCAGCCATTTCTCCCTGAAAAGCATCGTGCCAGCCCTATGGACCAGTCTATTGGACTCTATGACATACTGCACGTCCACTGGCTGCGTCTCCAGGTCCACTTTATGCACAGTGAAGTAGACACTGGCTGTTCCCACTATTGGATTCCGCGCACTGGGGGTGCTAAAGCGGGCTCTGTAGTGGTAAAAGCTGAAATGCTGCTCTTTGGTCACTCCTAAGTAATCCAAACTATGGAGCCACGAAGAGGAGAGCTCCCAAGTTGTGATATATTCTTGAATTTGCCTTTTTCCATCGTTGGCAGTGAAATCTTTGCTTGTAATCCAGTCAATGTTTCTGATGATGACTGAGTCCTGGTGGTTTCTCGGGTAGTGGGGTCCATTAAGGCTCTAACAAGATGAGCTGACTCAGGTGCTAAGTTCCCATGGTTTAAAAAAACATGCATCGTTTTCGTCTTGACAATTATTACCCTGTGTTCTGTATCCTGTGTACCAGCCTCTGTTTTGGCCAGTGCTGTTGCTATGACAACATGAGTGCACACGGGCCCTCTATTGGTGCACTACACGCATTAACTCCACCGTAGACTTTATGCCCCAGCTTGTAGAGCTGTAGAGTGATTATTGGCCTTTCATAAATAATTACTACAATGTTCAATAACTGATGAATAATTCAATAAACTTATTGACTGTTGATAGTAAAACGAAGATGCTGCTGCTAGAAGGGATGAAGTTTCCCACCCTCTGTTTCAGTCTCAATATTATTAGTTTACCTCCTTTGGTTTTCCCCAGTTTCTTACAAAACACCAGCACCTATATCTTCATACATATTTAAAATATGGTATCAACATAAACAAACTGATTTTCATTATTTCTTTCAAAATTAACTAATTCATTTTTTTTAATTTAAATCTCTTGAATTGTTTTATATTTAGACATTGCTTGAGCTGCTTAAGCTATTCCAGTTGAAGCATAAACTATAAAACCTTTCTTCCTACTGTGTCCATTTGGTTTTAGGAAAAGTTGAGTAAAATTTTGTACATTTTAAGATAAATCTATACAGAAATACTCTATACAAACCTTGCTCCTGACATGACTAATGTGTTCCTTCAAGTTCATTATATTATCAATAATTTCTCCTAAAATCATTGACCTTTTCAATATTCATACCATCCACCTTCATTTCTATTTTTAATTTACTTCAACCATAGATTTAGGGATCTTTTGTTTGTTTAATCAATAATATAATCTTCTCTCTTCAGTTATCTCCTGCACTAGCAACTGAAGATGACTGCCTGAACAAAATATACAACACAAATTTCAATACTTTAGGGGGTTCCACAAAGTATTAACTAATGGTGAAATATGAATACTTATCTGAGCCCCACTTTTCAATTTGAAAAAGTTGTATTAGTACTTTTGCAACCCACTGTATATCATTTATATTTTCCTTTTATTCACTCATAATTAAGAATTTGTGGACAATATTTTGAGTCTTCCTATGTTAAAGGACCACATAACAAATATTAATATTTGATTGATCTGTTTATTTTATTCACAGAACATCAAAGACGGCCCTCACAGAATGGCTGTAGATTTCTATTGCTAATGGAGATAGCCCCAACAGAACGGTGCAGCATTTTCTGCAACATCCCACATCTTACTGAAGAACCAAGGATTTATTTGCCAGTAGTTTCGCTTGTGGGCAAGCTGAACGCATGTCGCGGATCAGGACCACTATCGACAGTGTCACAAAGGCAGTGGGAGGTGCAGACTTAATTTCCAGGTTTTCTCGGCTCAAACCTGGAAGTTTGGCAGTTGACAGCTCTCATGGTGATAAAGTTTTAGTCCGAGCAGATACAGCAATATCAAATTCTTCTGAAGATGCTCCATCCAAACCTGAGAGAAAAATGAAAGAAGAAGAGGGCAAGAAAGATGGGGTGAATCTTGATGAGCAAAAGCAAAACATTTCAGAAAAACCCTTTGTTGCAAGCGTAAAATCCACAACAACTTTCCCTTCAGATGGAAGTGCATCAGTGCCCAGTCTGACCGCAAATCCGGTCAATCAAACTCTACATATTTTCCAACCTACTGGATTTTCAAGCAATATGGATGAAACGTACAAGACATTAGCAACTCATATCAATAGTTATTTTGGCAGCAACACCAAGGCCGAAGCCAGCAATGGGCCAAAACAGGAAAAAGCACCTGAAATGCCTAAAGTTCATGTTGCTTTTCAGCCAACTAAGGACAAAATACATGTTATGTCACCGGTGGAAATACCTAAAAGCATTGAGTCATCTCCAACCCTGAAAGCGCCTGAAAATCCAACCTTATCTCTCTCTGCACCTGCCCCAGGGCCATCTTCCAAAAAAGGTTTCAGTCACTATCTGTCTTACCCTAGGCCGAGTGTGCAGGCTTTTGTTGGCAGCTACATCGCTCCCCTGGTGCCAAAGTTTAGAAGTGAGAATAAAGCTGTGGCTGCAGAGAAAGAGAGCGCAGCTTTGGTCACGTCTGCTGAACAGAAACCTGCACAGACGATTGAAAGTGAAGAGGAGAAGAAAGAGAAGGCCAAGCAACTCCTTCAAACGCAAAGAGAGAAGGTACATAGTGTCATGAACAATACTTTGAATAGCTCATTGTGTTATTGTTGATTACATATATAAATCATGGCGTAAAGTATCTAATCCTGTGTATGTGGGAATGGTTTCCATTGCCTTATTGCCATTCCCTAAAGAAAAGTTATTACTTTTAAACACTCTCCTACACTTTGATTAATGAGTTTCCCCTCAAATCTCCAAACTTTTAAAGTTTATTATTTGCTACAACCACTGTGTATTTAGTTATTTATTGATATAAGGCATGATTCAGTATTTAATTGATAAAATGCTATTTAGATTAGTAAATCAATAGAAAGGTTCAAATTTGAGTGAATTGATTGAATCAGGCAAAATGTTTATTATGTCAAAAATTATAAATCAGAGCAGTATTGGCACAATGTGGAAACATTTCTTTGTGAAATGAGTGCAAAAATTAGTTTTGGATGTAAATTTACTAAATTCTTGAGGCAAGAAACTAGTAATAAACATTTCAAATCAATTTATTTGACTAACTCAATTCGTCAATTTACATCTACAAAATATTCCACTGCCACAGTGCATCAAATGAACACACTTCTATCGCACATCTTTCCGTATCAGTCAGACGTCTGTTCCAACTACAAACAAGCTTTCCCTCCCAGGCCTTTTCATGTAGCCTCTTAACTGCTCGTGCTCACAATGGCTGTATATGAAAAGACATCTGTTTCTCCCCTTCCAGATAATAGCCAGAGTGAGTGTGGACAACCGGACCCGGGCGCTGGTGAAGGGCTTACAGAAAGTCACTGATGTTAAACTTCTCACAGTTCGAGTGGAGGAGCTCAGCTTTCACCTGCTTGAGTTCCCAGAGACCCGAGGTGTAGCTATCAAGGTTTGTTCCTTGTTTATGATACCCATGTGATTTTATAGAGGCTATTGATCAAGGTAGCTATTATATCGTATATTTCATTGGTGTTAACGGAGGCCTAATCAAATGGATCAGAGACTTTTTATCTAACTGTCCCCAAAGAGTAACACTTGGTTCTGATATCTCAGAAGTGACTGTCTTAAATACAGGTGCACCTCAAAGGACAATTCTGTCTCCTTGGCTTTTTTCAATTCATACCAATCCATTATAAGTTCATAAGGAATCTTTTAAATTTTTTAAATATTCCGATGATATGGCTCTTGTTGCTTTACTACAGAAAGGGAACACTGTATTTTAGAGCCTGTATTGTAATCATTTGTCCATGTTACATCAGTGGTGTGTGGACAGCTTTTTAGAAATCAATGTTTTGAAAACAAAAGAGCTCTTTGTGATTAAGAGACATTAATACAAGTAAAAATTCATGGGGACAATGTTGAGATGGTTGAATTGCTTACCAATGTTTTCCTTAGATTTCTGCCATACAGTATACAATGATTTTGTGTTTAGGCAAGCGTGCTGCCTACCCTGCTGCGACTGCGCCAGGCAAAAGATCTCCCTCTGCAGTCTGCGGTGAGAGAGGCTCTGGCCGTGGTTGGGTACACGGACCCTGTGAAAGGCCGAGGTATCCGAGTGCTGGCCATAGACGGAGGGGGAACCAGGTACACCAGAACAGGGCCGACTGTATTACATTTACTCATGGAAACTAAATCTATTACACCGATGGCTTTTGATACTGATATAGCAACTGTTCTATAATGAACTGTTGTTCATTATTGGAAAAGTTGTAGATCAGGTGTTCGGTTAGGGTTAGGGGCTAACCCTAACATGACAAATGTTTGATCATGAAAGCAACACAGTTATATAAGATAAACTTTATTGATCTCACAATGGAAAAATGTATATGTCACATTTGGCTTATATAGAATCACTATCTTTGTGTAACTTTGAAAGGAAAACTGCATGTTTTGTTTTACAGAGGTCTCCTGGCACTGCAGACTCTCAATAAACTTGAGACTCTTACTGGTAAAAGAGTTCATGAGCTGTTTGACTACATCTGCGGAGTCAGCACCGGTATATTCCTATTTTTCTCTATGCAATATGAAAATGAATAGTAGTGGAGCAGTCTAGGGAAGTTGCGCTAACAAACTTAACACCGGCTGTTTATTGTCAAATTTTAAAAACTTCTATTGAACATAAAAATGTATGATTTACTTCACAAAGGTATTGAGCAAAGTTGTTTTCCATACAATTTCTGCTTTTGTGGAATATGGCTTCTCAAAATCTGCGACTCAGGCCATTCATTTAAAGTTCATTTACAAAATAGTCTTGTACATTCTGTTTCATGAGAAAGATTTGCTTTGGGCAAAGTGCGGGTGGTCCTCTCATGTTCACGTTTTTTCTGAAAGATGTTACAGAAGCCAGAACCATCCATCCATTTTCATCCCCCTAATCTATTTCTGGGTTGAGGGGGCAGTAATCGGTTGTGGTCAAGTGTCTTGCTCAAGGACACACCATCAGTAGGAGTAGATGGAGTAGATCTCGTGGGGGGATCAAACCCACCACCGTCAAAGGCCAATGCTCTACCAACTGAGCCACTGTCGTCCTGAAGCCATAAACCCTTAAATGATAGAACCAAAAATCAGATTGTTTGGCTGTTTGATCTTGCAAAATCATGTTATTTGCTGTTCATCACAAATAAATCTCCCTCTCTGTGCACTCATCTTCACAGGTGCCATCTTGGCCTTCATGTTGGGAATTTTTCAGATCCCACTGGAGGAGTGCGAGCAGATGTACAGGAAGCTGGGCACGGATGTGTTTAAGCAGAATGTCATTGTGGGTACGGTGAAAATGGGCTGGAGCCACGCTTTCTATGACAGCGAGATATGGGAGAATATCCTCAAGTAAGTGTCTTTGTCTCGTGACTTTCTGTTTACATGTTTGTATTTGGTTCCTCTATACCAGACAATACCTCAGAAGTAACTCCGGTCAATTATCATTTCCTATATGTACGAAATGAAATTTTCACGATGGTGTGGTAAGACCAGGCTAACTCAGAAGTGCTTCTGAGGAAGATTGAAGTATACCGTCGAAAGATGAAATAACTTTGCTAACTTACTATTGTCTGGTAATAGAAAATACAAAGAATAAGTCAAAATGAACCTTCCTGAACTATTTAGTCATGTTCTTTGTATTCTCGCAGAGAAAGAATGGGTGAAAGAAGCATGATTGAGAGCGCCAGAGATCCACAGTGTCCTAAAGTAAGTGACGTGGAGGTAGATCATAATATTGATGATTGGATCATTTGTATAAAAGTGTAGGGGGAGATTTTTGTGTCTCAGTGATCTGGGCAGGTTCCACTGAAGGTTCACATGGACACTGTGGTGAAAGTAGCTCAAGATTTGTGTGTTCTATATATTTATTTGTTTCTGATTAATTCATGATTTATATGCGGTTGTGCTGACTGTAAAATACAACACAAAAAATACAATTCAATCAAATTTATTTTTGTATAGCCCTAAATCACAACAGTGGTTATCTCGGAGGACTACAGCTCCGGTAGTCCTGACCAAGCCGAGCATCAACATCTGGAGATGGGTTCCCAGGCGCTTTACTACGGCGACCACTGCTCCTGACGTAAGCCTTAGTGGCATCAGGATGGGTCAAATGCAGAGGATGAATTGCCCTACGGGGATTAATAAAGTGCACCTTTAGAAAACCGTCCATCCGCCAACACAGATCAGAGGATCAAACAACACAAAAACCCACAAAAGCCTAACACACAAAAAACACGGACAACACAAAAAAGGACACACAGCACTCAAAACACACAAAAAGACAACATGCAAAAACACTGAGAACCACACAAGAACACATAAAACACAACACACCACAAATAAAACGCACCAAAAACACAACACACCAAACATGCAAAAACAAAACGACAAAATGAAGGTGGTTCTGTCCTATCTGTTGCACTTTTTACTGTCTGTGAAAAAGTTGATCTAAAGATGTGTCTTTTTTTCCATTTGAATTCCTCCTTGTCATGTATGTACTGCACTTTGCCTCCACTAGGTGTCAGCAGTCAGCACCATTGTAAACAGGGGTCTGCCACTGAAGGCCCATGTGTTCAGGAACTACCGCCTCATGCCCGGCACGAGATCCCACTATCTTGGAGACTGCAAACACAAAATGTGGCAGGCCATCAGGGCGTCCTCCGCCGCTCCAGGATACTTCCAAGAATTTGTCCTCGGAAAAGATCTCCATCAGGTTCGACAGACACACGAGAAAACTGGGCGAGATGCTTTATATAGTTCAGCTAATATTTGTGTCTGCATTTTTGAGAAGTGAGAGTAGCTGGTCCAAAACATCTGAAATAAAGAGAGAACAGGGAAATTTATATTGACGGACAGAATATGCCATTATAATACGCTATGCAGCCTAGCAGTGATTTCCTAATTTAACACAGAATTATGACTCTTATGTTTTTTATGGTGAAAAGTTCTCAAATCGTGCTCATTAACAAGACGCCAAAACCACAAATAAATGAATTATCAGAATCTGTTATTGCTGTTACACAGAACCAGCTGTGCGTTCTAATATTAGAATATGCATAAAGCATTCCTATTTCCAGAGAGGGAGATAGAGATATTTATAGGTATATTTTTTTATAGGGTATATTATATAGGATTACTAACCCTCACATTCAGTTATGAGAACAAACTGGAATTTCGATTGAGATAAAACCAGCTTGAACCGTCAATCCAAATGAGAGAACAATGGTGTCAAACGTTAATATGACATAACTATTATTTTGTATTGTATTTCTAATCTGAAGATCATAAACGATTTTTACATGTTGATCTAAGACTGACATTAGACCACCTTATAATTTGACAAAAGTTATGTTTCAATGGGCGTTTAAAGTATAAAGAAAGGAGTGAGTGGTCACAGAGAAATTATTAGGACAGATATCTTTAGCCGCTCCGTCTTGGGTGGATTTTAGCTTGCGGCTTTAGTCTAATAAGTTTTTCATTTTGATAACCTACTTAGGATAAATTAGCCTTGTTCCCCTTAACAATTGGGCTTTCCCTTGCTATTTCTCATCACGCAGCACTGTGGTCCATGCACATCAATGCATTTGGTTTATTTCATAACATAACAGTGGTGTGTTGAGCCTCTGCAAACAAACTTGAATTAACTTGATGGGAATGCTTTGTTTTGAGTGTTTGTCAGTATTAAACTGAAGAAAGCGTTAGGATTATTGTTATTAATGCGAACAATGGGAGGAATAGATGAATTTTTTCACAGAATTAAAAAAAGTAAATATATCTTTGATGGAGAGAAAGCTTTCTTTATTTAAGTATGTTGTTCACTATGGAGATTGTGCCTTATGGACAATTTACAGCAATCACACGTCCCCTCTAGTTTTCAGCAGTAGCAGTGGTATTTCTCAGGAGGAATATTCTGTTGGAGAAAAAAATATTATACATGTGTTTGAATATATAAACAATCTGAAAGAAAAATATAATTCATTGGATTTCTCTCCTATTCTATGTGTCATAAATATATTTAGAGATGTCAGATTTGAATGTGTCTGTCATTTTGTAAAGTCCATTGTTGCCATTTTATTTTTTGACAAATGGGGACACAAACTATTTTGTTTAGAACTGCATTTTTATATTTTGCATACTGGCATCTTGTCTGAGAAAGTGTGTTTTTACCATTATTGAAGTATTGCTCACAAAAACACTTCGACATCCAAACCTATGGAACCTTTTTGACCTTATTTAGATCCATCTAACTTCTTCCAATCACTCACTAAGCCTTTGAAACACCATTAGTATTCACATGCATGACTCTTTGCGCTAGAGTTGGTGATTGAGATAGATTCACACATAAACGTGAATCAGGGTGGAGGCCAATGCCATGTAATGGCTGAATCTAAATCAGACTCCTTGGAACAGAGTGAAGGAGCGTCTGGCTGACCAAACTAACCTGAAATTGCAATGATCCTATTATGAGTCATCAATTTTGATGAAGATTTACTAAATTGAAATGTTGTTAGTTGTCCAATTGTACTCCTAATTGGAAGATTATGTAACTTGAAGCTAGCTATGTAATAGCTGGATATCTTTTAATGTAATGAAATGTGAATGTGAGCAATGGGTTGTGCAATTTCCCTCTGGATCACTAAAATATAAATCTATTTATCTGTCCGTCTATGTGAGTTGTTGGGGCTGCTATTGGGCTGCTGGCTAAAGCTTTTCCACTGTTTTGGCTCTGAATGAACTGGTTTCTCTGCCGCAGTAGCACCTTTTCTCTGCTCTAATCCATGCATGTCTAAGACTGCGCTCTAAGTCACCTCATTTGTCCCCAGTCGGCAAATGTTCACACACGCTTTGACAAATTTATTGACAGCAGATTCTTATAACAAGGCACAGACACATACTTTGTCAACCTCGATGCTTACAGCTTTTAGAAAGATTATTTCCTGTTGTATCTTTCCCACACACTTTGAAGCAACAGCATTTTAACTTTCAATAATCACAAAGACGGTTAGTTAGAATGTTTGTTAGGCAACATTTTTGAAACAGGTTATTGTACCTAAAAAATGCTTCAAACTGTAGTTGTGGTTTCAATAATGGTACAAAAAGTAAATGGACTTACAATTCAGCTATTTCAGACTTTTTGTAGACTATGTAATAATTCTGCATCTAATTTTGCATGTCTACAGGATAATAACAAGAAACGTTTTTTGTTCATAGGTCTGCGCTGGACTCTTTTAAATATCATTCAAAAGTTAATTTATTTCCATATTTCAACTTAAAGTTTAAATCCAACATGACATATGAACAAAGGATATTACATGCAAAGTGTCAAGCGGAGATGTTTAAAACGATATTCTACATTCTCTTGTCTTTGTATATATTTTTTCATCTTGTTACCATGCTCTTTACACTTACTACTGTAGGACGGAGGCCTTTTGATCAACAACCCCACAGCCCTGGCTATCCACGAGTGTAAGAATCTGTGGCCGAACACACCTCTCCAGTGCGTCCTGTCTCTGGGTACGGGGCGCTATGAAGAAGGAGGGAAAAACAGCGCCACCTACACCAGCCTCAAGACCAAGCTTTCCCACGTGATCAGCAGTGCCACAGATACAGAAGGTGAAGGACGTTCAAATTATCTATGGCAGGGAATATATCATGTTATCATTGCAGAGTTTCCATCGATTCCAATTATTTTCTTGAAGATCAGGCAAGACGAGCGCCACATGCAGGTGCTGTACAAGGATGAAATAAAGGCCAAAGATATTTACATTCATATTTCACTTAAAACTATATAACAAAAAAGTGTATAAGACTGAAACTATACAAGAAGAATATGTCTAATATAATATTACACAAACATTTTCAAAGTTACTACTATTTCTAAATGTAAATATTTTTGTTTGATTTCTTCGGCCATATAGTTAATACTTAAAAAATTATGGAGTATAGATCTAAGTTCTATTTCTCTATTCCGAGTTCCCGAATCAGGCCAAAACAAACTTCATGTTCAAGAACGCTTGCGGACGAGCCTCATGTAGCAATCAAGTGTATTGACTGCATTGAGTCAACACTCACTAAATTATTTGTATTCAACTATACTGTCAAGTCTGATCAAAGTTAACACTGATTAACTAAAATACTAAACTAGTATTGTGAATTTATCTTGATTTTTTTTCATTCAAAAGGTTTATATTTGACAATAATGTGCAATAATCCATCGCATTGTGGTCGTTAGGTACTTGCTGAAGGCAATACCTGTCTTATTTGTTGCTCCTATCCAACTATTCAAGATCTCTTGTGTGCACATTGAGAAATAAATATTCACTATTAGTATCGTACTTTCTGGACTATAAGGCGCACCTGTATAAAAGCCGCACCAGCAACATTTGAAAAGAAACTACATGTTGTCCTCATATAGGCCGCACCATAATATAAGCCACAGGTATTCATGTTGTAATGTAGCAGATAGAAGACTCTTTTAACTGGTTACAACATGATTTAATGACGAGGTGTTTAATATTAGGGCGACAGTGGCTCAGTTGGTAGAGCATTGGCCTTGGAGCCTGAAGGTTGTGGGTTTGAGCCCACCACGAGACCTTCTCCACCGACTTCCACTGATGTCTGCTGTCGTTGTTTGTAGGGCTGCACGATATATCTAAAAGATATTGTTATCGCGATATTGGTGCGTGCGATATCCATATTGAAAATATCCGCGATTTTAAAAAACAAAATAGTTTTGTTCTTTTTTTTGTTTTTTCTTTAGTAAAAACAAAAAAACAGACGGACACATCAACATTCAATAAGAACAACAATCAATCAAAAAAGTATATCAATACGGTACAGACCAAAACTTTGGACACACCTCTCATTCAAAGAGTTTTTTATTTTCATGATTATGAAAATTGTAGATTCACACTGAAGGCATCAAAATTATGAATTAACTCATTTGGAATTATGTACGTACAAAAAAAGTATCAAACAAGTGAAAATATGTGTTATATTCTGGGTTCTTCAAAGTAGCACTTTTTGCTCTGATTAGTGCTTTGCACACTCTTGGCATTCTCTTGATGAGCTTCAAGAGGTTAGGGTCTCTGAATGACCTGAAGACCAATGACCTGAAATGGTCTTCCAACAGTCTTGAAGGAGTTCCCATGATGCTTAGCACTTGTTGGCCCCTTCACTCTGTGGTCCAGCTCACCCCAAAACCATCTGGATTGGGTTCAGGTCCGTTGACTGTGGAGGCCAGGTCATCTGGCCCAGCACCCACCACTCTCTTATTGGTCAAATAGCCCTTACACAGCCTGGGTGTGAATCTACAGTCAATAGTCATGAAAAGAAACTCATTGAATGAGAAAGTGTGTCCAAACCTTTGGTCTGTACTGTACATGAATTTGAATGTCATTAATGTTGTGCTTATTTTTTGTTATTTATCTCTTGCGTTTCAATGCAGATTGCAATGTTAGGTGAAAGACAAAAATATCGCAATAATATTGTTATCACAATACTAAACACTCATATCGAATATCGCACTAATTTCCAATATCGTGCAGCCCTAGTTGTTTGTCTGAAGCCCCCACTGAAAGAACAAGGCTACTGTCACTGCCACAGCCCTCCTCCTGGGGACTCACCACATGCCGGGGATCAGTGAGGGGCTGGTGCTCTGTGTACTCCGACTGCCAGAAATGGATTGAAGGGAAGAAAATGAATGGATGGATGGATGGTGTTTATTATCTTAAACACATGGCACTATTCATTCACCAATCTATTTTGACAAAAAACGAGTGTCCAATAGCTAATAAAACTTGATTCAAAATCTATAAACTCTACTCTACCACAATAATAATCCACATGTTAGCTGCATATAAGCAGCAGGGTTCAAAGAAGAAAAAAAGAGTGGCTTTTAGTCCAGAAATTACTGTATTTCATGATACACATTAACCTGACACATACAGCTGCTGTGGGCATGAATTAATGAAAAACTCCCAAATATAAACCTATATCATGATAATTATTCTTTCCCGTTCACTTGCAGAGGTACACACAATGCTGGACGCCCTCCTACCTCAGGACACATATTTCCGTTTCAACCCGTACATGAGCGAGGACATCCCATTGAACGAAAGCCGCATCGAGAAACTCAACTTCTTAAAAAGCGAGGCGGAGACCTACCTGGAGCGCAACGAGGCCAAACTCAAGAAGGCCGCCAGAGTATTGGGTCAGGAGAAAGGTCCCATCCAGAGAGGGGCAGAGTGGGTAAAGCTTAAAGCAGACATGTACGAGGGCTTACCGTTTCTGTCCAAGCTGTAATGGAATCAGGACCTCTGTTATAGTTTATGTATGTTTAGTATGTAGGGATCATGTCTGGAACTGGTTAAGCCTGCTATAAGGGATAAAGAAATATGCAGTAATGGGATAAACAATGTGTCAGATTGTGCCTCTGAAAGACATCAATTTCACTTTCATTATTTCCATTGAAACACATAAAGAATAGTGTAATATAGCGAATAGACTTACTGCTCTAAATGATCCTGGTGATCCGCTAACGACTGACCAATCTGGGGCTTTTTACCCTTGCTCCTGGCTGGTGATTGGATTGCTACGCAAGAAGTGTGGAGTTCACTTAATTCCTTTATGGGGAAAATGAATGGGACTTTGCTTCCGGAATCGGCCCAGGCTTTACACTGGTGATACATAATGTAAATATTGTTCATGTTTTAAATATACTATAGCAGAGACCTCCCTATTGCCCTTATAAATACAAATTGTATATTGATTTGGTTGTAAATATTAAATTTACACTTTGATGAGTGTAGTTTAGTCATAGGAAATATTAAATAGGAAATAGGAGTAGATCTGGAGGATGTGTCTGTAAAAAGGCAACATTGGGCTTGTATTCATTTCATGATCTATAAATCCCTCATAGACCTCTGCCAGGAGGTGCAATTTTTTTCCTGGATCTAGAAAAATTATATATTTTTTCCTTGTCCTTTTGCTGAAGTAAGTCTGGCCATAAATTATGAGTTACTGTATGTTGCGAAAATACAAAATAAAACATTATAACCTGGCAGGGCTAAATACTGTATATACAGTACCAGCCAGATTAGATCTGATTAGATCAGAGATCTGCCATAATCTTCCAGTCCAATCAATCAAAATCTAGCCTATTTAAGAGATACATTAGAATCAGCTAAAATGTAATAGCCCTGAAGTGTGTCAAGATGTGCCTGACAAATCCATAGTTGATATTGTGCATGGATTTTAATGAATAGGTTTGTATTGTAATGTATTAAACAGTATTGTTTGAGTCACTTTTAGAAGCTCTGAGTCATGAACACATTATACTTGATTGCACAGTGAGAACATGACTGCCTATTTCTAACAGTTTCCAGGGCCTGAAGCACTTTTACAATGTTATTAATGCGTGAATAATAATGTATTTCATTTGAACTGATAATGAACCACTGAATGCTCTTGTCGAATGGTACGAGGCATGTTGTACAGTATGTATGCGTGTGTGAGTGTGTGCTCTCCTCTGACCTGAAAACATTCAAACTTCTGTGTCAGAAACACTGAATAAAGCACACTTTTACCTCGAGACATCTCAAGCCATCTTTTATTTGTAGACTCCAATCAAACTAAAAGCTACTACACTGATGTTGAACTTTTGAATGTTGATCTTAGATTAATAATTATTCATTATATAAGTTTAAGTTAGTAGTAGTCTGTATGTACTTTTTTCTGGTAAGGGATCAACAGGAGGTTATTGCATCTTAACTTAGCCTTTAGTTCATTCAAATTTTGCTTTTATAAAAACACAAATGGAATTAATCCAAAGGACAAAAATAACTATTTTATTGCCGTTTCCCTGCTCACAAATGTTGACATATCCATGTGGTTAAAACAATTATTATTATTATTCTATTGGCTGTTTATCTCATGAAAATATAAATATGGTATAAACTTTCAGTAGCCTCATTTCTACTGCGCAAAAGAACTTGGAATGTTTTGACCCTGCTGGAGCGCCCCTCTCTTTCACACTAGCTGCTTTCTCACTTTATGCTCCTTGTAAACAGAGCACTCTAATACCTTATAACAGCATGTTTTTTCCAACACATGAGCTCCTTGAAGAGTAAACTAAAGGCTCACCTATTAGAGCTTTCTTTTTCCCTTAACTTAAACTTTGTGAGTAGACATTGGGGATTTGGAGAGTCTTGGGGTGAGATTTCAGTTGTTTTTCATAGATCACAACTTAGTATGTAAAATAACATAACAGCTTTGTATACACACTCATATCAATAATTGTACATTTGGGACTAAACTCCAAAACCAACCAACCCAATATACATTAAATTTTTATTGGGCTCAAACAAATTGTATGAGTTTCAAAGGGTTGTATACCACACTTTAAGGTCATGTTTTTACATATGGATATGTGTCCTGTAGTTGCAACAAAATATATATTTTGTGAACTAGCTGGGACCTACACCATGAATACTGCTGGAATGGCATTTGCCTGTACAAGTTTTACAGTTTGAGAATTGCAAAGTGTTGAATGAGCCTGGGAGGATTTCTCATAGTGATGTGGTATGTGTTAAATCCTGGTGGGGAGAAAACACTTGTCTGTCGTCAGGTCTCCTCAATGAAGTAGCAGTTTACACAGTGGAGCTGCCTCGGGAGATGGGGCAGACAACTCTAGACCTTTGATCATTTGTTTCATTGTCAACAAGTCATAACTATTTTGTCTGATCTGGAAAGCTAAGTATGATTAGACCTGGTTATTACATGGCCCTGAAATACCACAGTTGCCAGTGCCGGTTCCACCCAATAAGAGGACAAAGCAGCTGCATAGGGCATAGGGCCCCAAAGTTATAAGAGGGCCCCCAAAAATGGACCACAATATATGGAAAAAATGCTATGTATCACATGTATAACAATAAAGCTGAAGCACAACATTTGTTCATACATATTGCATGTCTTTACCGGTACATGACAATTCCTAAAGTAAAATGTGTGTGGATAAACCAAAACATGCTGTCTTCAGCTATATAGAAAGAGTGTCTTTTCCATAATTGTCAGAAAGATTGCAACTTGGGGCGGAGAGCGGATTGGTTCTTTCTTTTTTGATTTTATATATAAGCTGATCCAAAGATATGTCCGAGGTTGAAAAATGCATGCATGCAGTGAAAACTGGTGATATAGAACCAAGTGATCTTCAAGCGAGGAGTGATTCCTTCAGCAATTCAGTTAAATTTGTGCTTTCAAAGTTACAAAGGTACCTATCCTTAAAACTAATAAGAGCTTAAGCAGAAATACAAGAAATATGAAACCCCTTGGTGTTGCTCTTTTTCTTATTAGAGCACTTTCAGAAGCTTAATCTGAACCATTAAAGTGTATAGACATTCCAACTCCCACCTTGGTGTCTGTGTGGTTAAATTTTGAGAATCATGTCCTGATTTATACAATCCTTGTCTGTCCATTTCTTAACAATTGTAACCACTGCCGCTCTAACAGTGTAACAATCCTTTTTGCTCTCATGTGGCTCTGATGTTAGACACATTTTTGATCCCATTAATTATACTATCCCATACTCCAATCAGGAGTTTAATTTTATACATGCTTATCTCTTCACACTTTACAAAGTAAAACAATATTGTTGAAGTTTGAAAGACATTGGTCCCCTCAACCATGTGTGCCATACTGTGAGGAGCTGTGAGGAGCTGTGAAGTTGGCTAAAACAATTTTGCAAAAAGTCATCCTGAAACAGCAACGGGTAAAACACTTCACCCACTTTACCTTTGAAATCAATGATTGGGTGAATGACCAATTGGTGGCGGTGAGAAGGGACAATCATGCAATCAACCATTTATGATAAGTAAGAGAAGAAAAACTAGATCTGTGTGATTTTTCACATGAACTTAAAAGGACATTCCCCAAAGGCCAATCATACGAACAGAAATAACACAACATGACAGAACTGTGAATGCCAAGGGCGACAGTAGCTCAGTTGGTAGAACATTGGCCTTTGAGCCTGAAGGTTGTGGGTTCGAGCCCACCGTAAGACATACTTCACTGTCATTGTGTCCTTTGGCAAGACACCTAACCCCACTTTGCCTGAAGCCCCTGCTGAAAGATCTCAGCTCCTGTGGACTCACCACCTGCAGGAGGATCAGTGAGGGGCTGGTGCTAAGTGAACTGGTTGCAGCTCTGACTGCCACCCCCCTGACCCAGAAATGGATTAAGGGGAAGAAAATGGATGGATGGATGGACATTCCCCAAAGGCCAATCATACTAACAGAACATGACAGAACTGTGAATGCCCCTATGGCCAAACATGATTTCAGCACTTTGCATTTTCACTCATGGAGGTCCTGTTTTCTCTTGCTGCAGTATAGATTAAAGTGACCAAAATGGATGTCATTGTTTTTTTCTTTATAACAAGAGATGACTTATCTCTGCAATGGTTGTAAATGTTGTGGATTAAAAAACTTTGATCCATGACAAAGTCGCCATAAAAAGGTTATGGGAGCCAGAGAAGAGAAATTCCTTTTTTGTATCAAATGTTTTTTTTTTTTTCGATTTAATAAAATTTTTAATCAAACATGTAAACACACACACGCACGCACACACACACACACACACACACAGGTCCAGGGTAAAAAGAAAATATACATCTTTCCCACTGATGGCGGGATAGTGGGTGAGAGGGATAAATAAACTAAATTTTAAAGGTGCACTTATAGCATCTGTAAATTGTTATCCTTTTGAATGTACTTTTTTTTCTTGAAATATCAACTGCTGTTCATGTCCCTTGGCGAGGGGAATTTCCTGATGCAGGTGTGAGGTGGTGTGTTAAAATGAGGGGGGTGTTCTGTTACTGATGTGTTTGAGAAAGTGTCATGGATTAGATAAAGCAGACAGGGTTCACCTGCACTATACTCAGCTAAGGAGGATTCTAAATGATGAGGTGGGGCCATGTGCTTCCCTCCATTTGTTAAAGAGACAGAAGAAGATTAGATATCATATCATGTTGCACCTGTCACAACACAGACGTGAGCTGAAAAGGTTCTGTTGTTATGTCGAAAGGATTGAACCCAAATGCACCGGACGGTTAACAGGATTTATTGACAGTTGAATGAAGGTAGAACAGGTGAGCAGGAACTGGAATTGGCTTGGACACTGGAGCGGAATGGCAGAGGAGATACGGGTGAGGGGGCTGGCAACTGGCACGAAAATCTGTGAGCATAGAGAAACAGGATCAAAACGGGGATATCAAAAGCTAGCACAAAAATAGCAAAAGCCTTGGGTGT